AATTATCGCACATACGATTTTAGATGAATTATATGTGCGATAATTAAAAAAAGCATAAATAAGTTCGGGGAAACCTTCCTCTTCTATATCCAACTAGAACAACACAAGCGCGCGCTTCGCGCGCGCCATTGTTCTTCCGCATTATATTACATAAACTGTCAAAATAACCCTCTTGAATACAAACTGTCGAAACCGCAAGTCGAAGTGAACGACTCGTAACGAGATCGACACATAAACTGTCAAAATAACCCTCTTAAATGCAAAACTGTCAAAACCGCGAGTCGAAGAGAATCGAATCGCAACAAGATCGAAATCGAGTTTCGAGAGAGCCAATCGGCATCGCGGAAAGCGACAACAATGAACTCGCAATGCCTTTTTTAGATAGGGAATGCCTTTTTTAGATAGGGATAAATTTTATTTCAATTTTCCTATTTTTTTGTCTTCGTCAGACAAAAAACATTTATTATAAGCTTTTATAAGCATGTCGCATTTCGCTACGGAAGATACACTCTTAAATATATTATTAAAGATATCTTTTTCGTATACTCACAATTTCTCACATATACCCGAACTCAGATCCGTAATCTTTTGTCCCATAAAACAAGATATAAATACATAAATCAGTGCTCCTATGGAGATACCGATAGATCTGACAGCTAGTTCGAAACTAGAAATAGTTAATACCTGAAAAATTTTGTTTTAACTCTTCCACAACATTTGAAAACGCTTGACTCATTTCCGTAATCAAAATACCTGAATTATCGTAATGCTCAATAATATCACTACTCCTACGATTTCCAACAGAAACGGTACCGTGTGACAAGTTTCGATTATACCAACAAATCTTGCGACGTGAAAAAAGTTATACGTGTTAAAATAATGAGGTAAAGAATATCTTTTGCATGTCGAACAATTGAAATGTATATATAATTAATATGTACATGTACATTTAGAAATATGACAGTACTCAAAATTTTAAATATGAGATGATTTTTATCGATAGAAAAGTAATAAAATTGATTTTTTTATGTATCATAATGAAAGTCTACCATTTCCGATTTATCTATCACATTATCTGTATATTTTCTGAGA